TCCACTGAGAGCGGAGCCTGGGATCAGAAACGCAGTGGGGAGGGGGGCGGCGCTGGGTCAACCCAACAAGGTTATAGGGATATAGGTGAGAGGGAAAGCCAAAAGACTCCAATTAGGACAGGAAATCAGCCCGTTTCTTCCCACTAGAAAACAGCTGGTATGCTCAAGGCTTTGTTGAACTTAACCAAAACTGAGCCACCACCTCCCAGAGCTATTTTCCTAATTATTAAAGGCTAACACCTGGGCCTGTCACACTGGGCCTTTTCAGTTCCTATTGAGCCTGGGACAATGTCTAAGAGAAATATCCAACCTAGAATGCATGAGGCCAGTCCCTTACTCACCAGCCCCTGAGATTTTTTTCCTATTTGAAGTCCCACTGCTCCACCAGGACCCCTTTACTCCAGCCAAGGCCTTCCCCAAACACTCAAGGAAATATGGATATTGGCCTTGACCCCAATCTCCTAATCATCTCTCCAGCCTGGGTTCAGATGGCACAGTCCTCTGATATTCCCATGAAAATACATCATTCTTGCATCTAGACTCCATAGGAACTGTTCACACCACTCCATAGCACTCACCAGCAATGTACTACGATGTACTACCAGTTTGCTCTTGTATTGAATAAATACTTAATTAAATGCTAGAAGCAAGCAAGCCGATTTAGCTGGAAGTTTGACTAAAGCTGACCAACCACCTGGAACAGTCAAAAAGGCAATGCCTTCTGTTCTGTACTCCTCAAAGTATTTGATGAAGCTGGGCAGACTTCTACAACATAATTTTAAGTTTATCCCCAAATACAGCTTTATACCTCAAATTTGTAAGGTCTACAAGTTGGAAAGGATGGGGGAAGATGGTTTTTACATAGAGTAAATCTGGGCTTGGTGGCACATGCCTATAATCATAGTATATTGGAGGCTAAAACAAGAATACTTTCTACCATTACTACATAGCAAGACCCTGTTTCCAAAATGGGGGAGAGGTGGGGGCGGGGCTGGAGAGATGGCTCAGCAGTAAAGAGAACTTGCTACTCTTCAAAAGACCTGGGTTTGATTCCCAACACTCACATAGCAGCTCACAACCATTTGCAAGTCCATTTCTAGGGGATCTGATACCCTCTTTGGGTACCAGGCACACACATGGTGCACAGACATACATGCAGGCAAAACACCCATACACATAGAAAATGTATCTATATAGAGAGAAAAACATGTGTATTATATGTAATTGAGTGAGTACATACATATGTATGTATGTATGTATATATGTATGTATCTATCTATCTCCATGTATGTATGTATGTATGTATGTATGTATCTATCTATCTATCTATCTATCTATCTATCTATCTATCTATCTATCTCCAGGCATGGTTGCTCATACATGACATTTTAGCAGTTGGGCTGCTACAAGTTACAGGTCTACCTAGGCTATAATAGTAAGCTATAGGTCAGCCTGAACAACAGAGAGAAGAGACAATGTCTCAAAAAAAAAGCAAGCACATAGGGTGAGATTGTATTTTGGCAATCAGCTGTAACATAGTCTAGACTGTGGTAAGAAGGTGACAAAGGGTGGATATCATCAGAAACGACAATACTTAAAAGGTCATCTTAACCACTGGGCACATTTGCTAATTTAGCATCCCAAGAAAGAGAAAATCGTATTTCACATCTACTTCTAACTCCCTTCTTGGCAAGGATATAGCAAAGACAGTGAACCAAGGTAACTTGTCCACTGTTTTTTTAATTTCTCAGGTTAGCATACAAAATGCCCTGTTTTACTGAGACAGAGTCTTACTTATATAGCTAAGGCTAGCCTAAAACTTGATAGGTAGCGCAGGCTGGTCTCAAATCCCCAGTCCTCCTGCCTTAACCTCCCAGTGTTGGGATTATAGATGTGAGTAACCACACCCAGCTTGTGCACTAGCCTCTTGAAAGCTCAGGTTCACAGCTCTAAATCAGCCTCAACTACTTTTAACTAGAACACAGCCTACCAGTGCATACTAACAAATCATGGCCACTACCTTGCTTTGCCAAAGATCATCTCTTAAAACCATCTGAGAATAGACCTCACACACAAAGGGAAACCCTTTTTCTTTCTGCTGTCTCCCAGAAGAATTTTCCTTTTATTTTCATTGGTTTTGGTTTTTGTATTCTAAAATTAAATTCCTTTTTTAAGTCCATCTGTAACGCATTCCTCAGTACAGAGACCATTAAGCTATCAGGTGCTAATGGATTAAGAAAATAAAAAGGTCTATTCTCCTACCTTAGTCTCAGACGAGTACATACTTCTCTAGTAAGGAATTAAAGAAAAAAATCATTAAAAACAAAGCATCCTTTTAATCCCAGCACTCAAGAGGCAGATGCAGGCAGATCTCTGTGAGTTCGAGGCCAGACTGGTCTATGGAGCGAGCTCCACGACAGCCTGGGATACACAAAGAAACCTTGTCTCAAAAAACAAAACAAAACAAAACAGCCCCCCCCCAAATACCACAAAAGCCAAACATGAACCTCATGGAGTAGTTCATTGGTAGAAACATGCTTTGCATTCATGAGGCTCAGTATTCCATACCTAGAGCCACAAAAACACATATAAAAGCAAAGATCACCATTCTTCCCTTCAAAATTATCAACATTACCTCTCCCAACACACAAATGTATTTTAGATTTACCCGAGAAACTCCAGATCTATTTTTTAGACCCATTTATCTATTTGGGGTGTAACGTGGCCCTGGTATACACATGTGGGGATCAGAGGACTTGTGGGACTCATTTTCTCCTTGTATCTAACAGGTTGTGGGGGTCAAACTCAGGCTGTCAGGCTTGTCAGCAAGCATCTTTACCCAGTAAACCTTCTCAACAGACCTAAACCAGGCTCTTTTTGTTTTCTTTTTGAAGACCCCAGATCTTAAACTGGGAGGAAAATGCTATTGTAATTCCTCTGACATATATGAATTTAAATAGTCAATAGATTCAAACACCAGCAAGCATGGCAGAACAATGCCTTGAAGTTAGAGGAGGTCTCATAACCACCACACAGAACAATTTGGCCAGGGATTATGAAAGGAAAATATAAACTCTGAAGGACAATTGGGTATCCCTAGTACGATGTGTAATTTTAAAAAGGCCTCTCTCGGTCAACCAAATATCCAAAAACTGAAACACATACACAAACCAAGCAGGCCTCACCAACATCTTCCTTTGATAAAGGTCTTCCTGACAAATTTTTGCTAGCTTCTTGAGGCAGGAAGTACTGGCCTCCAGAATTCTGATGACCAGTTCCCACCTTAAAGTTACATGATGAGGGGCTGGAGAGATAGATGGCTCAACAGTTAAGAGCACTGGCTGTTCAAGAGAACCGTGGGTTCAATTCCCATCAACCTCATGGCAACTAATAACTCCCTGTAACTCCAGTTTCAGGGAATCCGACATATTGACCCAGACATAGATACACGCAAAACACAACTGTACATGAAATATAAATAATAAAAATATATAAATATAAATATATATCTACATGACCAAACCAACTTTCTTCCAAGCCCTGAACAAGAATTGAAAAACTTACATGGAGTCTTGAGAACCCAACTTAGACATAAAAAATAGAAATGGCAAGCACCTGAGCATTTCTTTACTCCGCAATCTTACAGTTCTTAATCACTAGACAGATAGTACTAGGCAGCAAAGGTCATCTGATGGCCTCCTCATTTTCACTGGAACAGGGACAGTATGACAGGCAGGTGACTGCCATGATGGAGGCAAATCAGAAATAAACTTGTCCTACCCCCATCCTGTGATACAGCTTACTGGATGCCACCTTTGAAAACTAACCTCTCCTCGTTGATGCCACACATGCGAATCCGGTCAGAACTGGTCCAGTTGTGCACCCCGCTGTAGAGCGGTGCTGTAGAGATCATGACAGCCACTCCCTGCCAGATAGAATCTGCTGTGGCCACTCACCCTGTTGAAAAAGAATACCAAAAAATGAAAACTGAGAACAAGCACGGTTACTTTAACCAGCTTTTACACTGAAACATTTCAATTAAGGTAATCATGGCATCACAATGCTAAAGCGATCACTCTCACAAGCCAGCCTGCTATGGAAAATGAAGGTCCAAATAAGGAAAAGATCACACCAGCTTTCCAGTAATCCACATTTCAGGATGCAGATGAGGACAATGTCAGTCACCCTGAGTGATTTTTAAATTATCTTCAAAGACACATATGCTTGAATATTCAAGGAAATTCAGTTGTATGCAGTTGAGGGACAGTATGTTTTCCACATACATTTAGCCTAAGCAACCCCTGTTAGAGTCTGCATCCATACCTGAGCAGCAAGTGCAGTGAAAGATGACTGGGGGTCTTTTTCATAGTGTTCTTTAATCCTTGGATAGGGATGGATCTGAGTGACACAGCCAATTTAGGCTCTCCAGAGGAAGCACACACTTTGTTTATAAGCCTTTCAAAAGTACTCTGCTCTGCTTCCAAGTTGGTCACAATGCATGTATGTAAGGTGTAGAAAGCTCCCTCCAAATTAGGTGCAATATTTCTTGTACTCTGGCCAAAACAAATGAACAAAAACAAGCCTGCATCAAGAACCATGCATTTCTGTCCTTGTCCTTTCCTATTAGTCTGTCTGCCCTGTCGTGGCTTATGAACCCTTTCATGAGCCAATGTCTACTTTTTGCTATTGAAGACCACTGCACAGTCATTTCATCTTTGACAGAAAAAGGGCATCGAGGAAAATAGCTTTATCCAGTGAGCCTGTTTTGCTAACCTATTAGCTAAAATCATCATTCACCAAAGTTCAACTGAACAGAGCCCTATGGTGATCAGAATTTTCTGCTGTTGTCTGTGCTCCAAAGAAGTCACAGTAATGCACAGTCACATCAGAGATTTGCTCCATTTATCCTCTTTTCAATTTTCACAAATTGTTCATATTCAACATAATTCACTTACTCATTCAACAAACATTTGTCCTAGGTATTAGGGGTTCAACAACTAATAAAACCTGACAAAATTCATAGCGGCCGAGTGCTTACATTCTAGAGGGCTGGTGACAAGAAGGACAATAAGCATACTAAACTGTTCTGTCATAGTACATCCCAAGCTACACAATGCAGACTCAGGAGCACGGGCACAATATCAGGGGGAGTAAGTGGAGGGCCTATGATTCATCATAGGGTGATGAACATAGGCCTCACCAAAAGGAAAACACTTCAACAACCTAATGGGTATGAAGGAGTGAACAAGCCAAGTTCTTAAAGCGGGAGCAGGCTGCCTGTTCAGAGCAATGAAGAGCCAAGAGGCTATCATGGTTGGATTCACAGAAGGTGGTAAGGAAAGAACTCTGGAAATGTATCTGCCCATTGTTCTCTTTGAATTCATCTTATCCCATCTCTGCACCAGCCAAGGGGTTCTGTTGTCCACACCCCTTGCCTTTACATTTCCCCTCCCCTGCTCAGTGTTAGCTGGCTTCTCTGTCTGTGGTCCTTCTGTTGTCCACCCCAGAAACCTGGCTGTTCATTGAAGATGAGCCTTCACCTTACCCCTTCCTTCTCTTCCTCTCTTCCTCCTTTCTTTTTTCTCCTTGTTCTCTCTTATCCTCTCCTTGCTCTGTCTTCACTCATTTTTCTGTGGTTCTCTCAGATGTCTTATGCCCCCTCCTTTTTTCTGACAACTCTCTGAGCACAGCCTTTTCCAATTTCCTTTCCTGCCTGTCTTCTCCCTCTCCCTTAATTTATCTTGTTCCCAGTGTTCCCCTGTTTCCTCTTCCCTCTAATTCTCCTTCCCTCCTTCCCTCCCTCCCTC